TACATCCTAATTTTCTCTTGCTGAAGTTTATTCTTTAAGGCCGAATTCAACCCTTTGCTTTCGCATGTTGATTATACTTATTAATATGTACATGTATGTACGCGTCATCTATTGGTCAGTAACTTCCAGGACTGATGGGTAATAACGTCCCAGTTCACGTATAAAAACGGTAACCTAGCCACACCTGTCTGGCCGAGCGGCATGACCTAGAGGTTTAGACCATTGCTTAGCATCCGGGAGGACGTCGGTTCGATTCCGGGTTTGTCTGCCTTGGTCCAAGTTTTTCTGTGGTTTCCTTGGATCACATAGACAAATGCTGAGGCAGTAATATTCCACAGATAATCTTTTATTTTCTTCTGTCTTCATTTCGTCCGTCTAATCTTTCTCACCCGAACCACCACCCACCCATTCCCACGATTCCTGAAAGCAGGCTGAAGAGAGCCTTCTGCCCTACCTTCCGGCGTGGTCCAGAGGGACTGCCCGCCCACTAGCATTACTGGCTGGTGGGAATGAAACACCCAAAATTTTTTTTTCACACCTGTCTGGCTAGGTTACAGATATACCGGTTGCACACAAACGACTTGTAGCGAAAGTCGAACTGTAGTTTAATTTTTTTAGTCAAACATCGAATCTCTCACAATGTCTCCACATCAATGTATTATATCATCTCACATACCTACTTGCTTATACATATATGTAAAGAACAATTCATTAATTCAGAAATTTTTGCTACTAGATTTTTAAAGAAGAAAGGGTAGGGAATAAGTGAATATAACGATGGGAGACGAAAAATTAAAAGTGACTTATTTTCGGTATTTAGAAAGTTAGATGACTCAGGATGGAAATAGCAGTAGAGATATAAAACATAAGTTAGCGCAGGGTAGAGTCGCTTTTATCAAAAAGAAATCACTTTTAACCTCGCAAACAGTTAATTAGAAAAGGTTAGAAGCGTTCGAAATGTGGTGTTACCGGAGAATGATGAGGATATCGTGGATAGAGAAGATTAGAAATGAGGAGGTATTGGAAAGAGTAGGAAGCTAGAGGGCGCTATGGAAGTCAATAAGAAATAAGCGAAATAAGTTGGTAGGACACCTTTTCGGGCATGAAGAACTAGTCAAAGACATATTGAAAGCAGAAACAAGAAGGGCCGATGTAGACCTAGACTAGATTGCTGTGCACAAATATTGAAGGTTGTGGGATGTTCTAGTTTTAGAGATATGCAAAGAGTAACTCAGGATAGAAAAGAGTGTTAATGCTTGTCTATCAATCAGTCTTAGGACTGACGATCTTATGATGATGAAATCTTTTGGTAAACTTCTACAGTCACAGATAATGGGTAGAAATAATTTGTCTTCATTTAGTAAATGACAGCATTACAAAACTACAATACTTATTTGGCGACCTCTGTAGTTTGTGCCTTGTGGCAAATATTGACGAGTCATGACGCTGTATGTGTGTGTGTATTGATATGTGTGTGACTGGAAGAACACGTTGCATTCCGTTATTCTTGCACGTTGGGCAATCGAAATCTGAACGCAGCAAAAGCAATAACACTGAGCACGTACGTATTGGTTTCTAAGTGACTTGCTATTTAAATCTGGGTGATGAATTAAGCGGGTCAGGAATTCAACAACCCGACAATGTTGCCAACGTCATCAATCTTGGTTTTCTTGCCCTAGGTCAGGGACTTGGTGTTCGTCGCGTCACGACATGCATAACACCATATTGCTATTACATTCCGTTACTTATACAATACTTATTGTAAGCATAGCTGCATGTAGAAAGAGATCCGAAAACATCCATCATTTATTGTTAATACTATAGAAAATATATTTATTCAGTAAACTCCAGTTATAACGATCGCGAAAGGACTACAGAAAATCGACCGCCATAAGATTTTTATGCATTCATTTATATAAATCATGGCTTAGTACCAAGCAGAGGTAGTTCATGGTGAAATGAAACCGGTATTCTATAAATGTTCAGCTCTTCTACTTTTTTAAAGTTAATTCAAGCCTTCATAGAAGCTTGATATGAATAAGTTTTCAATGGAAAACATCGATAGAGCCGTCAAACGATCTTGGAACATTGGATTTTGGAAGAAGGTCTTAATTCATTTTAAAGGCATGAAGATGCCTGCTGGAAGTAGCATATGATGTTAGCATCGGTTTTATTGCACACAGAGTCCAGATCCCCGTCACGGCTTGTTTTATATGTATTTATATCTCTCTTGAGTAGAAAAAAAAAATCGAATTGAATAACTTTTATTGGTTACCAAAAATGTAGATGAACCGAGTTGGTGTGTTGTATTATCTTGGCATGTCCCTTGTGTAACTGTTAAATTTCCAACAATACCTTAAAATATCCTTATCGCTCATCTTCCTTTTAGCATATTTACTTATCCTTCTCACAGAGTTTTTGAGAGTTGCTTCTCGAACACACGACGCCATTTAGACCAGAATCATTTGCATATTTTGTTCAAACCAAATTACTAAAAATTCTGTGAATCCGTCCGTCAAGTCATGCTCCAAATCCATTTTTAAGAATATTTATTCTTTTTTTTTTTCGACAATAGATGCTGATGTTCATTACAAAATATGAATTAAGGAGCAGACATAAATGGATAATAATTAATGACTTTCTCGAAAAGGAATTACTTGTTGATAGATTCTCCATTTATACTTCAACTTAGACACACTATCCTTTTGCAGGCGCCGACTAGACTGGCGTCGCTGACTTTTATACCAGGTGTGGGCAAACCAGGGGTTCCTTCCATAAAAGTTCATTCAAATTATTATATGTATAAATAACAGCATTACTATTAACACCCAATAATCGACTATTGTCATACATTGCAATAAAATATGAAATGCTGATCTGAAACAGAACTACCTACATAAGTTCCGATTTTTAACTGACCCACATCATACTCCTTTTTTTTGAACTTTAGGATAAAAAATAATTTGAAATCAATCATTTTATGAGCATCTTAAAAATAACCAGTGGCGTGACGATACCATCTAAGACATATGACAAATTCATCGGTTGAGACTCTCCTGACTACAAATCCAAGTGTTTTATGGTGAAAACATGTTATTTCACTTGTCCGTTGCCAGTCGTTTTTCCACTTGTCCGTTGAATTTTCACTTCTACTATGTGTCGCAGCACACATTTCGTTTTTACAGGTTTATTGCAAATTATGATTTGGTTTTTACACAGACCGCAAATAGAGGCAATGATGCTCAGCGACGTGGAAAGCAGAGGTAAGAACAGTTGAGCACAGCACACGCCGCCGGGACTCTCTCTCCGCGCTGCTGCGCATTATACCTATCTAATACATCTGTTGCCTTCTCGCTGCCGCCACCAGCCTTTCTATCCCTCCGACGCGATATACCGACTACCCCCTCCATGCGGCCGTGACGCTTTTTCGTGACAGAAAGATCGTAATACCCCGTCTATACATACAGAAGTTTCACTTCAAAAGTATGCCCAAAAAGTACTCTAGTTAACGAACCGTCAATGATCGACAACATTTAAAGTTCTGTAGTTCGCGTTCTTATTGCCTTTCGTTATCGTTAGCGTCAACTGACGAAACACCCAGACAGGTCAATTTCTCCTAATGATTAGTAACAATCTCGTCAGCGTTTTATTGACAAAGTAGCTGCTAATATCTAAAATACAAAAATAAATTGAGTGTGTATAACTTTTATTTATAGCCTTATCAATTTATTCGTTATTGTTATTACAGATGTATGTAAGTATATGTAAATATCCAATGGAAAAAGTTTTGCAGTTGAAATTAAGCCCTCGAGCGCACTACGATTTTTTAATCGCGCGATTATTTAGTCGCAAACGCTCGCATAGGCCAGTAAATACAAGTGCGAGCATATGCGACTAAATAATTAAAAAGTGACCACTGGTCTTTTTCTTGCGACGCGATTGTTGCGGATATTAGAATAAATCGTACGGACAGCAATGAACCTGCGCGCACTTTAAGACTAAACTGTCACAACTCACTGACTATCATCTGTTGTTTTGTGCATAATTAATGAATACATTATGGTTATCAAACATATACTATGAATCCTCTCTTGCAAAGGAAGAAGAAACGTCACATACTGTTTTAAATACGGAAAAATTACATCTGAAATTGAAAAAAGAAAATTGCCGTTTTACTAATCTGATTTATGATAGGAGGGAACCAATATTGCTTCTTCTGGTTCCTTTTAGTATTATTAGCATTTATTCACAATAACAATACTACAATACACATTGTTTCTGTGACGCTCATATTGCAAATGACTAAAAGCTGCGATCATTTGGTCGCGCATCAGTTTTACTTCTTGCGACCGCCACTTTTCAGTCGCTACGACTAAAAAGCCGCAGTACGCGCTAAGTCTAAGGCCTCATTCACACAATGCGATAACGACATGTAATTAAAGCGAACGTGTTTACACTGATGCAATCCGATATTAAAATCGTTGCAGTAAAAAATGTCGCAAACACATTTCCATTTGGATTAACAAATCGTACGATAAAAAATTGCACGTCACGTATATTCAATATAACCAAATGTATGCTTTCACACATATCGTGTGTCGCGCCAACTCATCGTTGTCCATGGTTGTCGATACTCATTTTCGTCGGACGTGTATGATGTGCCAGTAGTGCTAACCGCAAGTTGCAGCCATTAACATGTCTTTCTTAAAGAAAAAAAAATTAAATTACGAAATAGTCGATTTCATAGAATTACTGTTTTTCGCTCCATTAAATACATGCAACTAAACGAGACAACACTGCGAGGATAGCTAGGCTCGCATTTGATCTTGGATCGTTGTTGTAACAAATATTGTCGGATAATGTGAAAGCGGCGTTCCGATACCATACGACAAATCGCGTGCTGGAAATCGCGTCGTTATTGCATTGTGTGAAAGTGGCCTAAGTCTGCAACGAATGTATTATGTATGCATGCATATATGTGTGTATAAATATTATAACATTTACGATTAGTATTAGTAATACGTGTGCCGCAACAGTGTTCTTCTATTCATTCCTCAAAGTTTTTATTGCGTAGTCATTTATTATTCATCAATCGTCAGTAAAACTTACTTTTATAGAAATCAAGTAATGTCACATATTGTGTGGGTGGTTTTTAAAATAATGGAAATAGTTTTTTTTTTTGTATAGTGGGACAGTGGTGCAAATGTGTGAAAGTGTCTAAAAGAATCATTCAGATGTTGAACTGGAAAATAAAAAAGGAACTGATTAAATATAAATATATAGCAGAAAACATCGAAGCTTGTTCGCCATTAGGATTGAAAAATGGAGATTTGGTAATGTCCTTATCTATCTATATTTCATTGAATTTAAAAAAATGGGTATAATCATTGATGTTTTAATCTAAAACGTTTATTCACCTTGTAGTTTCATCTTTATAAATCACGAAGTAAAGAACATATGTACAGCTATCAACACTACTATAATTTGTGTGCATTTTTGATTGATTACCTATCTAATAAACTTTAATTCAATGAACGTAGGTATCATATTGAGAGCAAAATTGTAAAATTATACATATATTTATTTAAATTTCGCAGAAAGTTAGTACCTATTCGTTTGACTGACATGAAGGTCTTTCAAAAATAGGAATCGGGCATTCCCCTAACATCATTAACCCGCGCCACCAAAGAGCCGCGGCAAGACAACGAACTTATAGTTAGCACAGTGGATGCGTACTAAAACTGAACGATATCTTTTTCTTATGAATGTGTTATAATCTTCATAATTTATTTGTATAATTCGTGTATGTTTTTGGGTTAATACCTAACTTAAATTTGATTAAATACAAAATTTATATTATTTACAATATCTAATAAAAATTTTAGGTTCGTACTGACCTCACGGCGTTTCGGTCTGGCGGCACCCTCAGGCCGGGAGCCCGTGACATTTTGGCCGTTCTGGCAGCCTACTGTTACGTCACTGAAAACAATGATTATTCTTTTTCCGATTTATTAAAAAGTTGGTGGCTGTTGAAATTTGGTTTAATTGACATGATTCAGAAGTTAGAGGGATGTAAGAGATATTACATAATAAGTACTTGGAGGTGCAGGTACTGCTTGCCAGTGGCGTGGCGTGAATTTTCATCCAAGGCAAACCTAAATTTGGCGCCCTGTTTTTACAATTATTTTATTCAAATTGGTCGGCCTTCAGCAGTTGCTATTACAGTTGTTAATTTGCTTAGGAACGAACGTAAAAGTAAGCGTGTACATTTGAAAAGGTCTCACATAACTCATTTACCTATATATAATTCAGAATATCAAGAGGAGTTTGAGGATCTAAAGAATTGTAAAGATTTCACATTTTGGTTCTTCATATAGGCTATACTCTCACTTTCGCGACCTTCAGCATTTTTATGATCGCTAAGTGCATACATTTTCTTTCTATACCTTTGCAATATTTTAATTTTTCAATAGTTCAGGATTCTGTATCACTTTGCTGATGATATTTGCAAGATCTAATACAAGATCTAATATATAAATGTAAATAAAACATAAAGTATCGGTTCGATCATTTTACCAAGACTTATTGAAAAAATGCCATTTCTACGGGAAGATACAAGATAGTTGCTTTTTATACATTTTTATCAACACAAAAATCTTGTATTTTTGCGAACTAGGACTGTAATGTCTTGCTACATGGTACAGATAATTAAAAACTGGTACAAAGATCTAAAAATTGGGATATTTATCATTCCTGTGTGGCGCGGACCTCATTCTATCTAATACTGAAGACAACATTACTGCCGTCCCCACATTTACGCCGTTCGAGGCCCATGATCCCATTTGCACCCCCTCCCCCATCGTACGCCGCTGCTTGTAGACAAAAAGGCAATTCATATGTATTGTTAATCAATAGAATGATTCATTTTTTACTACTACAGATAACCTCAAACTAATGAGGAAACTTTGATGTAATGAAAATTCTACTAAAACTATTTTAACATTTTTTTCCCTAAACGTTAAATATAAATTCAATTTCCTTACGGTTCTGAACATGTATTTATATTAATTTTTAAATAATAAAAGCTGTCTGACTTTTTGTGCAGAAATGCTACTTTGAACTTGTTCCAAATAAACGTTATCCCTTGCGCAATAAATTTAATGCATGCATTTATACGATCACTCGTTCCCTGAATGTCGCCTGTTCCTGATATTACATTTATCCATTAAATATAAAAGACCAACTCAAAATGTTTGCTGTAATCCACACTGAAATCATCCTATTTGTGAAAGAGCAATCACGTTAGATGAGTGCAACAGTTGCGGAGAAAGCGAAGCGAGATCTTCTATTTTTGCCATTTGTATGCGCCACGTTAAACGTCAGTTGAAATTTTTCAGATGGCAAAGCGCGACGAGTATTCACGAGAGAGGGTCGACAGCGGTGAAAGAGCGAGGAGGGCGCGAGGGAGCTGAAAATTCCCAGGAGACGCATCTTCCACATTTCATTGGGACCAAACCACTCTTTCAACGGAGCCTGAGCTGCTTTTTCAGCAAGGCTCAGCTTTTTCGCCAGCCGAGCTGTTCACGATCCTGATCCCATAAGCGGCCACGCATGCGCCCTTTGGTTGCGCAGTTGGCGGGAAACGGAGGACATTTGACGATCGATAGAGCACACAACCACCGCGGGGCCCCTCCCATCATCGTTTGCATCCCCGATATTGTCACAACCTACTTGTCATAAGCCGTTGCGCCTTTTGCCTGTCTGTCATCGCGGTATGATCGCTAATCTGTTTCCGTGCCGAAGTGGTGAAGCCACAGCCACCAGTCACGACGACATCAATGGAGACGTTTTTCCGTGTCCAAACGGTTACGTTTCGCAAACAACAATCACGTGGAACAGCTTTAGCGACTCGAAGGAGATAAATGGAAGGAAATTGCATCGGGAGCATTTGATTCGCTGGATTGAGCAAGGTACGCCGTAATGGCTCCCATTACACTTCCATATTTTACTACCCTTCATTAACGATAAATTATCTTAGGCATTGTGACAAGAGTCGTTTGGTCATTTTGGACAAACAAAATTAATTGATTTAGCTTACATTTATATTATCGTGTCCAATAATTTATTTCTCGGCCCTTTTAGCTTTACCATTAAAACCATGATTTCTGCCAACGTAGATCCGAGAAGATTTATGGCCTTTATGCTGTTGCAACCACTAATGCGTCTGATAAATTTTGATTATTCTTTAATTTCTTCCATCAATTTAGCTCTAAAGAAATTCGATTTAACTGCAAACCCATCCCTTGAATACGACTCAATTTATTCATTGACTGTCAGAAAAAAGTTATGCTATTAACCTTCGTCCATCACATACTTTCTTATCTACTTTCCGTCAATTCAACCATTTTATCAAGAACAGTTTTAATCTGAAATAGTGTTTGAAATTCAAAGTTTAAGATTTTTCGGATAGATCATTTAAATCTTATTCTAATAATAATTGGCATTACAAATATGCGTTTGATAATGTACCTCTAGGAAGTATGTCTATATGCAACTACCATCTTTCCTTTTTCATTTCTCTCAAGAGATTTATTCATCAAGTGGATCTTTTCGGTTTAGTAACTTTGCATACCGTCGTGATTAAAGCGTCCCTGCACCCCCGTGGTGTAGAGTGCATTAAATTTTACATAATTGTGAGATCAATGATGATTATTCAGCCGATAATGGAGGCATGTTACAATATTTAAAAATAATCAAGGAAAGACTGTATGAATTACCATAAGGAAAAATTATTAGAGTTGTTCACAAAATTTGGAGTAAATCGCCATTGTCATTTACTTAAATTTAATTTTATTTTACAATCTTTATAAAATTATTTTTATTTTCTGAAGGAGGAATTGTTCTGTCCGATATTACATGGGATTGAATAGCGAATCAGTTCGTCGCCTAGAAGATCAACGTTCAAACTTCTTAAAATAACTAAGTGAGTTGAAAACATAAGGTATGTACCTACACCTTTTTAATTTAATAGTGAACATCTTTTTCCATTTATATATATCAACACTCCATTCAACCAGATTCCCGAGTGCGATATTTCATGAAAATATTCCCTATATCATTAAATGTGAGATACATTTTTTCCGTTTTGGGGTTTCTCTGATTGTTAGAATTTTTGAACACTATTCATAAAAAAGGCTTTCTGCCTTTGTTCTAATTAATATCATATTAAATTAGGCAATAGCTCAAATGATGCGTTAAATATGAAAGTTGAAGTCAAATGATGGATCATTAAAGTCTCTCATTCTCATATGGAAGTCCAACAAGTTAATCTTTATTTATGGTGAATCGATGGTTCTTATATCCTCTGCCATTCTATGGAAAGGTTGATTTTGTAGAAGATAATAAAAATTTAAATACTATTTATATTGTGCATATTTAACCATTATTGATACAAAAGAAAACTTTTGGGATTTCGAGTTTAGAAATAAATACGCTTTTGTTCTGGAAATGTGTCGGAATCTCAATCTTTGTGGAACCTAAAACCATCACCTACTTCTACTCTATAAATAGTGATAGGCAAAATCAGTTTTGGCGTTGCAGTTTTAGTCTTATCGTTATTGAATTAGAGATGAAGACCAAGAACTAGGAGCACGAGATCAAGAAGGCAGACAACAATACGGTCTTCTGTAACTTCGATAGGCAGTCTATGCCTATGGCGTGCTGATGAGGTCCAATAGGTAAGATCGAAATTGCGATCCACGTGTGGTAGTTTTGCTGAATTGTTCTCTAAGCAATTATACCGTTCTTACTAATTTCGTTTACGTGCCCAGTCGCGTCGTACATTCAGTGGATAGATGGCGATATACTGACTACAATTAAATATTAACCCATATTTTTTTTTACAGCATTTTTGGAGGACCCTCCGTAACAATTTATAAATTAAATGTTATTTTTAGGGATAAATTAAGTAGAAGTCAGGAGGAAATGTTCGTCTCTCAAGAAAATTTTCTAAATCTGCTGGGTACCACTACACTTAAATTGATGATCTTGCCAATGTACGTTCTTCATTGACTAAGGCCAAGGAATGCGCTTTTAACAGGTATTTTGTTATCGCGCTATGCGTTATTTCCGTTTTAAATCCTCATTAAAATTGTAGCGTTAATGTCATACTTCGGTCATCTGTTTTAACCTTTCATCTGAGGGCTGATTCAGACAAATTCGCGATTTAAAAATTTGGGGTCAACTATAATTCCAGAGCAAGTTAACATTTTTCTTGGTCTGATTCATTCTAGAAAATTTCAGGAACTTTTGCTTAACCACCTTTTTATTAACCTCTCTCATAAAATATTCATTAAATTTTTTTCAATAGATTTTGGGATAATTTCAAAGTAATTTGACGAAGATTCGTTCTCTGTATCATTCTATTCGACAAACTGGCAGATATCAGTTTATATGACTTTGTAAAGATGGCATTTTATTGGCAATTCGATATTCATCGGGATCTCTTCCAAATCCCTCTCCTATTCATATCTATATATTCCTCTTCTGATACGTTAAACATGAAACATCAGAAATTGGTAGTGACATTGTTTATTTCCTACGAATTTTTTATACCTTATTGAATTTTTTAAACATTATGACGTCATTTGATGATTGCATGTAATACAAATCACTCCTAGTGTATAACGACATGCATGAGAAACCTTTATCTCTCCTTATTTTAATTTATACTGTAGAAATCCCAAAAAGCAAACGAATAAACTAAAATCAAATTGTCGGTAATATTATAAATTTTTTTTTGGATAACAAATTATTCAATGGAAATGTTTTATTAGGAACAACTTTTTAAGTTATCAGTATCTTATATTTTTTATTAATAATAATTCTTCGAATAAACGAAATATGAAATTATCAAATGGTTTTTACTTTCTAATTGAAAGTTAAATCCATCAATATTTATAAAGCAAATTTTAATAAATCTATTTAACAGCCCTACTGTGTGTACTAAGAATGGTAGATATTGTTCCGTAGTTGTTGATTGCCTTTGTTTACGATTTATGCTCTCTTCATGAAATGTTTTTTATAAAGACACTACATAATGCAAATTTTCACCTTCTTTCTTATTTCAAACACTGCGAAAGATCAGGGTCATCGGCAGACACGTCTACCAGAGACAAGTGTTCAAAACATTAATGTAAATAAATTCAGGAAATAAAAAAGCCTAAAAGTGAGAGGTCAAACGTGCGTAAATGTAAAAATTGCTTTAAATAAAATATCTTAACACCTGTATCAATTACTGTAAAAAAGTCAGTTGCTTATAAAGTTATTAATTAATGATTATTAATGAAGACCGTAGTCACAAAATAATAAAAAAAAAAACAAACAGACAGACATACGAGTGAACCTTTAAGGGTTCCGTTTGTCATGCGGATGTCAACTCGAAAACCAATTTAACATTGTAGTCAAAAGAAACACGCACAATAATTGTTTTGTTGAAAGATTTACCACGTTATGTTCAGGCAATAGACTTCTTATTAATTTTCCTGTAATCTATAAGTAACGAACTATTTTATGTATTTTTTTCAAAATTTTAGGTTCAGTAGTTTCGGAGATAAGAAGGAGGGGAAAAATCAATTTCCATTTGTTTTTAAATAATTTTTAAATTTTAAAAAGTTTTTGAAACCCGTACAAAACAAGCCCTTTCATTCACACGGTACAATTTTCAAAACTTTTTTCTTTAATTTCCTATTGGTCCCCCAAGAATGACCCCCTTTTTCAAAATTAATTTATTTACGTTATGCGTCCATGTTTAGATTAGACAGATACACGACTGATTCTGTAAGGGTTCTGTTTTTCATTAGGACGTACGGAACCCTAAAAAGGATTTATTTAGTTTTCCAGTTATACATAATAAAGTAAAACATTTACAATCAAAAAACCGGCAAAATTAAACTGAAGCAACTATAGGGACTAGGGACTATGTTTTTTGCTGATTAAATTTGAAATACAAAAGGTACCTAAATAAAAAATAGCTTTTTTTTGTACTTATTGTAATTTTCAAATGATCCATCGATATTATTATTAACTTTTCAAAAATTATATTATTTATAATAGCTATTTTTCTTTTTGCAGTTATAAAACCATATCACAGTGTTTTTATTTTTTAAACAAATTCATAATATTTCGAACAATTCTTTCTGCTAAAGTACCTGTGTTACATTCATTTGTGACATTGTGTACATTTACATGTACATAATAATAATGTTTTTAGCACGTAATATAGCTGAAATGAATTTCATTATAAATTTCTAGTTTATTTTGTTGAATCGTTTTAAAAAATTCTCTTTTAAGGCAGTTTATTTAAACCTGTTTATTTCACGACAAAGGTGACTTTGATCCACAAAGGTTATTAAACGCATCAATCTGTCTAGAGCTTCCATTGTTTGGCCTTGATAACAAATGCGCATTTCCCAGAAATGTGACTGCTACAGAATATTTCAAAACCCTTTTTTGGAAATCAAAATTTTAAATAAAAAAAAAATTCACCGTTTCTATCACATTTATACACATTTAGGGTTAGTTAATATGTACATATGCATACATATAATGTTACTAGTATCTACAGCAAATACTGGTAACTCAAATACATACGTGGAACATCCTGCATAATTTTAAAAAGCACAAGGGTGTCTTTCGTACTAATGCAGGGTGTCGATAAAGGGTGCTGTCTAGTGTTATGTAGCACCCCATTTTTCTCGCACAGTTGCTTTAAATTGGGGTGGGTATTGGTAACAATTGAACTAAAGATTCATGAACAGTGTCCATATTAATCAAAAGTTATCGGATAGTAAGTGCAAATAAAGTGTAGAGGTAATTAAGAATTTCATAGGCCGTGTTCTTGGGTTGTACAGTGGCAAAACTGCACCCGTTTATTACCTACCTCCTAAAAACATTGGTCGTCTCTGGTTGTATCTGTAGCGAGGCCTATGTTTAATAGTCACATTACCATGTTTTTGAAATATACAATATGAGTGCAATAATATTCGTCACTTACACATTTTGCGGCTCATGAAATTTTGGAATACCTCTACCTACTATGGGCACTTAATAGATGAACTGTCATCATATTCAATTTCTCTTTTACTAACATTATAAAACTGAATTGAGTGAAATTATACATATGATATAGATTTTATTTTTTACAAGGAATGTAATTAATGTATATAGTAAACTAATAATTTGTAACTCCTTATAAGGATTGAACGATAAAATTCCTGAGACATTGGCAGATAAAAATTAACGCCTATAAAATTGTTATTTTTTTTTTTCAGTTATAAAACAGAACGATCTTGATAGGTACAAATTTATTGAACAAACTTATTTTTCTTACGAAGTTGGAACAAGAAAGATGTCTGAGTATTGCAAAGCGAACTGCATAAATAAATCAATAATTTAATATCATTATCATTTGGTCAGACAACATACACATCATCATTTTTATATTTTTGCTACCTACTAATTTTATTATTGTGTGGCCTATGGTGATTCATGGACTGCGCTTTTCGTTACAATTTCCAAAAAGTAGTACTTTCTCAGTAGTGCATTATAATCCGTAGTGGGCATAGGAAATGTACAATTATTTATATCTACTTACCTAGTCAAGAGCATTTTTAGAAAATTATCGTAATGACAGGAGCATATTTTCAAGGTGTTAAAAATAAGATGTACCTAAAAAAAGAAAAAGAACAATATTAGACAAAAGTTGTAAGCGATTTCTTTGATATATGTAATACACAGTTAAAAATTTGCCTTAAACTGAAATATATATATCGAAAAAATGGTACCACATGAATTATGACATTTTCCTTTCTGTAAAAGATATACCACCTGTTTTTGGAAATTTATATTAGTTAGTTAATTCTTCGGTAATATTGAATGCTTCATATTACTACACTATTTAAAAAATGATTCTTAATGGCTAAAAGACTTCTAAGGAGATTCTAAAGCTAAACCAAACAGTTATTTATTAGTATAGTTTGGAAGATCATGCAAAGTATTACCAAATTTATTGCTATCTTCTTGTATTTTTGACTTTAGACTGCTAATAGACCCAAGTTTTATGAAGGTACGACAACTACCATTATTTACCGCAATAATTTAACATACTTAATTTGTGCTTTAATGGGAAAATTAATGGTGATTAAATATTGATCTTTACGAAAGACAGCTCCTATCCGAATAAATGCAAATATCGATAAATATTTTTCTGGAATAGCCATATTTGCGCCTGTTTTTTTCTTTTTGGTGTGGAAGATTAAAAAACATTTTGGTATGTAGACCATGTCTATTCATTTATCCTGTAAGATATTAACAGATG